GGCGTCCGGACGTGCGGTTCGGCCCCCCCAGACCCTGCTGCCCACCAGCTCATCTTCTGTCCGGAGCACTCCAGGCAGCGCTTGCCTCGGGGCCTCCTTGTGAGGTGGCTAATTTCATGCCCAGATGGGGAAAGCAGGTCACCCAGCGAGAAGAGATCGGCCCTGAGGTCACACGGCGACTCAGCCGCAGAGCGAGGACACCCCCTTGCCTGAAAGCCCCTCCTTCCAAGCTCTACGTCCCGCCCCTGCCGGTGACCTTCCTCCGCCGAGGAGCTAGATCCAGGCGGGAGACGGGCCAGGCGTGGTCGTACCGGGTCAGAGTCACGGTCTGTGTAGGAAACCGACGTCAGTGGCAGGTGAAAACCCTCAGTCCAAAGGCCACTGGGCGCGGCTCCGGGCCGGAGCTCAGATCATGAAGATGCCGAAATAAGACACCACCTGTCTCTGCGAGGCGTTGACGTACACCCGATCCTTCTCCTCCAGGTGGAAAAGGCCGCCCAGGAAGCTGCCGTCCTGCCAGAACCCGGCGTCCTTCCGGTCGCAGTAAGAGACGAGGTTCTCCATCAGCTTCATCTCCTCGGGGTACCTGGGGGTCTTCTTGTAGATGCTGTGGATGAGGAAGGAGTTCTGGCCCTGCTGGGAGCAGCTCTGCACCCTTAGCTGCAGCTTGGAGTAGATGTAATAGTAGCCGGGCTTGACGCAGACGAGGGCGCCGGCCTGGTACTCCACGTCGTGCAGGAAAGCCAGGTCCTTGCTAGGCTCCCACTGCAGAGAGCTGTTCGTAGTGGTGGTGAAGGCCGCACCTGGAGAAGACCACGGCCACACACGTCAGGCCTGTGCCCCGAAGGAGGCGGAGCTGGGGATAGGACCCAGGAGTCCTGACCCCCACAGCACTAACCACTGGGCCCCACTGCCCTTCTGGGGGGGGGGATAGAACCCAGGAGTCCTGACCCCCACCCCACCCTACCCCACCCCCCGCAGATCTAAGCACTGGGCCCTACTACCCTTCCAGAGCTGGGGATAGAACACAAGAGTCCTGACCCCCAGGCGCGCCCCCCCCCCCCCCACTCTAACCACTAGGCCCCACTGCCCTTTCAGAGCTGGGGATAGAACACAAGAGTCCTGAACGCCCCCTCCAGCTCTAACCACTGGACCCCACTGCCCTCCCAGATGGGGTGACCAGACATCCCGTTTTTAAAGAGACAACCCCGCACTTAAGCCCTCTTGCCGCGGTCCCGACTTTTTCTTTAAAAAGGGCAAAGAGTG